GCAGAACCGAAACACGATTGGTGGGCCGATCATACTCGGGGGGTGATGAAGGAGGCAAGGGTGGATTTGCGCGGTTTCGACATAAAGACGCGTTCGATACACTCAGGATACTGGCGGGCATGGACGTAGGTTGAAATCAACACGGCTGTCAAGCTCGCGTACACATGTGCTCGCGTCGTGGTGAAGAGCCTCTGAAGTGACATGCCTAGTTCCCCACAGTTCAGTGCTGCGAGCACAAAAACTCATTTGCACAAGTCTTAGGCGCAGAATTTCTGACGGGCGGACTCACGATTCTTGGGTGTAGAGAATATGGTCAGATTCTCGGATGCGGAGTATCTTGAGACTTGTATGACATGGTCAGACAAAAACCAACGCTCAACGATCAGATTCTCGAATGACCGAAATCGCGCCCGCGTGATGTTCAATATCTCCCAGATACTGTCACCACAGTCTCATCCGTGCAGCTGTGTATCGCTGCCTGTACTGCGCCACGCATCGCGCATTACGCGACTCCTTCCCCTTCCTCTCTCTCCGACGACGCATTTGTTGGCGAGACGCCACCACTGGTGCCTGGAGAGTGGCCGATTTGCGCCGACGAGTTAGAAGTTCTAGCGCAGCATACCCCTAGCAAGAGCCCAGGCAACAAGACCGCCACTGTCGTAGACACCACGATGGACATCCACGTCAAGGTAAGAGAAATCTTGCTGAGCTCTGTATCCGTGCTGATGTGCGAGATGTGAATAGCTTCTGGATATTTGGACAACGGGTAGATAGAATGTTAGCAAGATGGGGCATGCTCCTGGACTTCTGCTCTCCGGAGACGGAATCAGTATGTGCCAGGATTCTTGGGTATATCTGAGTTCTTGATCTTGTGAGCTGAACGAACTCGATTGGGACTGACGACATGACTATTGATGCAGATGTAACACAGGCCTCATACCGGTATGTGCACGGCGACCGTCACTCAGGTCGACACAGCAAGTACCCTATTTGCGCCACCTGAAGCGAGCCTGAAGCGATGCTGGTTCGCCTGGGCAATTACTACACACGACGTCACATAGGACCAGGGGTATGCTTCTTGTGTATTCTATGTATTTCATTGAAATGATTGCCCGGATTATTGCCTGCGTGACTTGGGCTCAGTCGCACGACCGTCTGCCCGTGCTTCGACTGCGTATGGCGGTCGTGAGTTCATCGTCCTCGTCCCGGCCGTCACCCATATACAGTGTTCGCGAGTCTTTTTGGACAGCGCGTGAGGGCGTTTTACGCTGATTCTCCATACGCATCCCACTAGGTGGTAGGTGCAGTTTGTTTGCTTGCCATAACCAGCCAAAAGCTAGGCGAACAAGAACCTGTGTTTAACCGGTTTTCATTCGAGAAAACTTGGAGACAAAACTTCCTTTTCCGCTAGTTTTGTCGCATTTCAGCCTCTTTTGGCCGGTTTTGCACCAATTTACGCACCAATTTCCCCCAATGTACAACCGGGGAACAATTGGTTCTTATTTTCCCAATTTTGGCCGGGTTTCTTCAAGAAAAAAACCGTGCTTACCACCCTGTGTCCAGTGCAACGTCCACATTCATAATCAATGGAAGCTTCGTTGGCCGAATAACTCTCCGTCCTGTGCGCTTCCAAGCGCGCATGCTATTTTCCATTTCTGGCGCACAGAGCATTCCTCACCCGCAGTTGGCAGATCATCCATGTGACGGTCAGAGAGACCCTTGATAGATACTGCGCGGCCGATATTCGGCGCACAGCTTGTTCATGACAGCGGCAGACTGGAACGAGGCTCAGCACACACACTGTCTCCGTCTTGCCTTTGTCCTCGACAGCTACCGTCTCCGTCCCCATTTCCCCTACGAGCCACAGTGCGCTCCAGCCTTCACTCGAATAGCTCTTTGCTTCATGCCCGCGGACACGGCTCCTCACGGTAAAACTGACGAAAATATGTCAGATAATAGCCGCGCTAAGGTGAGTGTCCTTAGTTCCCGCACGCCGCGCTCGCTTGAATGACTTGTTCTCGTTTGTGCAGGACAAGCCCGGCCTATCTGGATGGGCTGGAATCGAAGACCATCTCTTCACTAACGACGAAGGTAAGACCAAGGGATACGCCGACGACATCGACACCTTGCTCGTCTTCGTAAGTCTCTTCGGTGCTCGACGCTTTCCGTACGAATTCGCGCTTATGATCACCCCATCAAGGCCGGTCTCTTCTCCGCCATCCTCACAGCATTCGTCGTACAGACATACCAGATGCTCCAACCCGACAGCCAAGACACGACTAACCAGCTCCTCGCTTACAACAGCCAACTCCTCTCCCACGGCCACACCTACCCCGGAACTGACTATCACATCCCTCCCACCCTCAACATGACCATGACATCCGTCCTCGAGTCCCAGTCATTCTCTCCCTCAGCCTCGGCACGTTGGATCAATGTGCTCCTGTTCACCAGCCTTGTCCTCAGCCTCGCTGCCGCACTGTTCGGGATCCTGGCCAAGCAGTGGATCCGCGAGTACATGCTTTGGAACTCGCCACTCGCGACGCCTCGGGAAAACGTAGTGGTGCGGCAGATGCGATTCGAGGACTGGGAGTCGTGGAACGTCGATGCGACGATCGCCGCCGTTCCCGCACTACTCGAGATCGCAATGGTACTCTTCCTGATCGGCATGGTGATCCTTCTGTGGACGCTTGACGACGTTGTTGCAATTATCTTGACCGTCATCGTGTCCGCGTTCCTCCTTACTGTGTCTGCGTTCACCATCCTCCCTGTGCTCTTCCTCCGATGTCCATACCGCTCTCCGACGGCTCGAGCCTGCCTTGCATTGTTCCAGATCGTCCGAGCACTCATTTCATATCTCGTCAATGTTATGTGCGAGATTCGTCGTGTCACCGCCGCTCGGTGGAGACATGCCTGCGAGAAGCGGGGTGCACATACACTACATCACGGTCAGCCAGCGAGAGAGCCGACGCCTGTCTCAATTGACATGGAACATGCCCCCGGGAGCAGTTCGCCACATCATCCCATTCGGTCCACTCTACAGAATTCCCTAGTCCCCCCACTCGTCCATCTGCTGTCTCTTGTAAAATCACCGTTGGTGAAAACCGTGTCTTTTGCACAGTGCATATGGGACATAGTCTCTGTAGACTGGAGTAGAGAGCAGCTCCTTGTGGAAATGCAAGATGTTTCACCGAATGGCGACGAGCTCAAATTCCAAGCCGTGTCGTGGCCGCGGTATGTGAGAAATTGGCGGGAAAGAGACCTTGCGAGCCGGACATCGACCAAAGTTTGGACAGGCAGATGGCGCTCCCCATGGCAGGATGTTGGACAAGCTGCGAAGGTTGCCCTTATAAGTGAGGAGCGCGATTATGGGGAAGATGGGCAGCACCAGCCTCACTGGCGAGATGATTTGCTTGTGCTGAATGCGGCAGACGTGGAGCGCCTCCTAGTGGATCTATCAGAGGTTACGCTGCTTCTCCGAGCCTTATCATGGGTCGACCAGTCCTCTCAGGCTCCACGTGTCAAGACATACATTGACACCTGTCTCGAAACCATTCATTCAGACACAGTTGCAACGGCAGATTTTTGGCGTAGAGGTAACAATATTCCCGCAGCCGCCACATGGCTGATTGTCATCGCACTGGGTGATCAAAGGCTCCTTTTAAATCCCCTACGCATCTTTCTTCCAGCCAACAGTGGTGAACCACTCGAAACACGCATGCTTGGCCTAAGACAAGCCTCAGGCATCTGGATTCATCGATCCGACCCTAATGACTACGGAGAACTGCGCCAGAGACAGGAGCGGTCGCTTTCAATCACAGCCGCAGACAAGTCGTGTCAGCACATCATTCCTATCTTCGAGCGCACCATTGCGGCCGACATCAAACATATGTACCTACGCGAGAAATTGCTGCACGTCAGAGACCTGTGGCGAGCTGCAGAACTATTCCCGCTCCTCACTCAGACTGCTCGCGGCACTCCGCCAGTTCTGGCAGCTTATGAATCTCTTCTACGCCACGGTTGGCATGCATATCGAGACTTGCCACTTTACTTTGAAGTGTTCAAACTGGCCGATGAGCATGGACATATCAGTGTGAGCCCTACAGATAGATCTCTAGGTGAGTTTGTCTGGTTTGTCTCTCTTGAGCAGCCTGGTCATGCATGCTGTCTTTGCCTACCCCAGCTGTGCGCACACGAGATGAAACGGCTACTGACTACTCATCACTCATGCTCAATTGGTTTGAAGATGACCTGGCATTTGCTTCCGTTTCTCAGCTCCGAATCTTCCTTTGGGTCTCGTGGCAGTGGCTTGTCCGTGTAGAATCACAACACTTCCGAGACCTTAGCTCAACAGACTCCGAAGTACTGGAGAAGATTCACAAGGCACTAGAGGAGATTGCAAGCCGAGGTCTTTCTGATGGAGACAGTGTGGATAATTATGCTACAGTGACACACTCTCTGTGGTGGTTGGGAATGCGAGTCGACAGCATCACCACGGGAGAGGCTCCCTATGGCCTACCTGTGCGGCAACTTGTCCATACCTTTGAGAGGTGCTACCACAAGAGGGTGTTAGATGACACACAGCAAGTCAGGCGGGACCTGCATTGGTGTCTCCAACAAGCACACATGAACATGCAGGAGAGGTGCGAGGAGCCGAGCTGTCACTGGATCTCTCACACCTGCAATGAAGATAGTGAAGACAATGAAGACAATGAAAACTTTGAGAACTGTCCTCTGCTGTCCAAAGATATCGACCCTAATAGCCCCACTGGGGCTGCTGCAACTTCCGTACCTTCCAGACCTTCCAGCGCGCTGTCAGATACTCCAGCAGCTCTCTCTCAGCGACATGGGCCCAGCGACGCTGACACCGAGCAGATGCGCCCGGCGCCGCGCCCCCCTCTGACAAGCCCCACCACGACGGTACCGGCGCAAATGGATTTTCTCAATAGTTTGGATGCAGACTACTGTGACACCGGCTTTGTAGATGATTGGTTCCTCGCGTATCCACTGGTTGCACGCGGACGAGACAACGCGCTTGACGCCATTATCGATGAGACTGTCCCGCATGCAGCCCCGGCCACACCCTCGATCGTCCAATCCAGCGATGCAGACGCTCCGCTCGAGACTGCGTCACAAGCGAGTAGCGCATTCTCAGTCAATTTGAGACCCGTGCCGGACCCGGGGACCACGGGCGCAGGAGGCGGCGTCAGCCAGGAGGACGAGCGGTCCACGACGACGAACGAGGGCTGGGAGCCGCACGCCTGCCACGAGTTGGACACGGAAAGGGACGCTGTCCCGAATTCGGCGCGTTCGATGTCGGTCGTGCTGCCGCCGCCGTTGACGGCTCACGTTGGCCCCTCGACTCCACCTTCGAATACCTCATTGTTAGATGATTCAAAGTCTGCGGATGAGCCAACCTATCGTGCGTGGCAGTTTCAGAGCAGTGTTTAAACTCACTGACCACGATATATAGACAACTCACCTGACGCGGCGGAAGCCGGTGTTCGGCCCCAGGCGGAGCGGCGTATAAGCTCTCGGGACGCGTCGTCTTTGTTCCAGGTTCAGTCAGGAGATGTAGACCAGGGTATGGAAGAGTACGAAATGAGAGCTAACGATGGCGATGGTCCGGTGACTTCAGGCGCAGGAGAGTAGAGATGGAGCGCCACGGGAAGGCGGATGGTTTGTTGAAGGGCAGGTCACAGCAGAGTGGTGTACAGAGATAGACTAGTTGTATGTTTCATACACTTGATGCGTTTGCTACTGGCTTAGACTCGGCTCAGCTGCGCGTCATGATGGGTCACAGTCGAGCAACATCATTCAAGGTAGACGCACCAGAATATGTATGTTATGGCAGCGTATGGTGGCAGAATTACAGAGCATGTATCAGTGAAGAGTAAGAGATTGGATGAGCCTAATGCATTACCCACCTGCGGGCTGTTCGAGTATACAGTACTTAGAAGGGAGGGACATTCGGAAGGCTGATGTGTTCGACAGACGCGCTAACATTGAAGGCTCGCTGGTAGAGGATTCGGTGCGTCTGTTAATTTCTGAGACAAGACTGAGTCTAGGCCTTGTAATTGCGCTGGGTCGGTGAGGCACCTGAACAAGCTGGCGTGCAAGCCGTCCGCAAGTCTCTTCTGACGGTGACGGAGTAGGCTCGTATCTTATCTGGGTCTTTCCTGTAATATCCATGATCTTATCAGATAATTCTTACAAAGAAATATCGCGGCCCAGCCTGCGCACGCCATTCACCATGCTCACCCACGATTGCGCGCACCCCGACTCTTACTCCAGTCGACGATTCACTCGTCGCTAAGACGACAGTGGTCGATGAATGCTCTCCGCTCGCCTCGCAGCTGGCGGGCTTTTGCAGCGTCTTCCAGCTTCCGACCATGTCGTGTCCATCCACTCCAGTTCCACGGGACTGTCCTTCGTTTTCGTTCATTCCAACATCTCGCGCAGAATACGGACAAAGAAGCACCCAAACAGACTTTGAAGGGTACTGCAGGAACGACGTCGAAACCTCCAGCAGAGCCGTCACCTCCGAAAGCAGCACCAGATGACGCCGTGCACATCACGGTGAAGCAACAGCGAAAGAACGACTGGGAGATCGTCAAGCGGCTTTCAGGTAATTTGTGGCCAAAGGATGACTGGTCAACGAAGGCGAGAGTGGTGGTTGGCATGAGTCTCTTAGTTGCGGGAAAGGTGCGTTTGCAGGCTCTCTGGCATGTCTCAAGCTGACCGTTTGACTAGGTGCTTAACGTTCAAGTCCCTCTGCTCTTCAAGAACATCATAGACTCTTTGAACATCCCAGTGACGGATGACTCAACAGTATGGGTTGTTGCAGGCTCGCTGATATTAGGATGTAAGCTGGAGCAGCTCGTGTCGATTGGATGTTACCAACTGGTCTGTAGACGGTGCTGCAAGAATCGGTGCGACGCTATTCGGGGAACTGCTCAACGCTGTGTTTGCCAATGTTGGCCAGCGTGCTATCCGCAGAGTGGCACGTGAGACATTCGAGCATCTCCTCAACCTTGACCTCAAGTTTCATCTGTCTCGGCAAACTGGAGGCCTTACGAGAGCTATCGACAGGGGAACTAAGTGAGTTGCAACACCTCTATTCGCTCTTTTGTACTCATGCTCCTCTGCAGGGGTATTACATTTATCCTACAAGCAATTATATTTCGCATCGTACCCACGGCACTTGAGATTTCGCTCGTGTGTGGCATCTTGGTAGGTCTGCTTCGTCACAGATATGTATCATGCTAACGCTTATAGCATGACAGACGTACAATTATGGGTGGAATTTTGCTGCGATAACATTGGTCGCGATGGGCGCATATACTTGGTTTACAGTGCGAACGACTGCGTGGAGGTTGGTCATGAAGCTCAAGCTGCGCTTTATAGACCTGACAAGAGCTTGGATAGGACACGATTCCGGCGGGAGGCTAACGCTGCGGATAACAAGGCCGCCACTGTTGCCGTAGACTCATTGATCAACTACGAGGCCGTCAAGGTGAGCGCACCGCATCTTGAGCGCGGAAGTGAGTCTGATTTGGACATTTCAGCACTTCAATAACGAGAAGTACGAGATCGGGCAGTATGACAAGCATTTGAAGTCGTACGAGAAAGCTGGTCTGAAGATTGCGACATCACTGGCATACCTCAACTCCGGACAGAATATCATCTTCTCCGGCGCACTGACTGCCATGATGCTCCTCGCAGCACAGGGCGTGCTTAAAGGTTAGCTTGTCCAGGATTGCCTCGTAGAATGACATTGACGCAACGTCCGTAGGAACGATGACTGTCGGCGATCTCGTCATGATTAACCAGCTTGTGTTCCAGCTATCGCTTCCTCTGAACTTCCTTGGCACTATCTACCGCGAGATGAGACAAAGCTTGTTGGATCTCGAAATTCTATTCAACTTGCAGACTAAGAATCAACCACCCAAGGTGCGCCTACAAGTGTAGTGATTTGTATCGGAATCGAGCCTTACTGGACCTCCAGGATAAACCAGACGCGAAGCCGCTCGAGCTCAAGGGTGGCTCCATCCGGTTCGAGAACGTGCAATTCGCATATCACCCTGACCGACAAATCTTCAGTGACCTGAGTTTCGCGATTCCTGCTGGCAAGAAGGTTGCATTCGTCGGTCCATCTGGCTGTGGCAAGTCCACGATCGTGCGCCTACTCTACCGCTTCTATGTACCCTCGTCGGGTAAGATCTACATCGACGACCAGGAGCTCCACGACCTGCAGATTGAGAGTGTGCGGCGGGCGATTGGCGTCGTGCCGCAGGACACGCCGCTGTTCCACTCGGACGTCCTACACAATATCCGATATGGACGCTTGGACGCGAGCGACGAGGAGGTGCGAGAGGCGGCGCGCAAGGCGCACGTGCACGAGGCGGTGATGCGCTTGCCTGAGGGTTACGCGACTAAGGTCGGCGAGCGCGGTCTCATGATCTCGGGTGGCGAGAAGCAGCGACTGGCGGTAGCGAGAGTACTGCTCAAGGACCCACCAATTTTGTTCTTTGACGAGGCGGTGAGCTACTATCTCTAGCCCCCTGACGGCTCATGGCTGACCGCACTCTGCTGTAGACTTCAGCGCTGGACGCGCACACTGAGACCGAGCTCATGAAGAATATCAACTCGCTGCTGCAGGAGAAGTCGCGCACGTCAATCTTCATCGCCCACCGTCTCCGCACGGTGGTAGAGTCAGGTTCGTTGGCAGTTTCCTCTTTCCTAGCGGCATGATTTTTAATACTCTTGTTAGACCTGATTATGGTAATGAACGAGGGCCGAATCATCGAGCAGGGCACACACGAGGAACTCATGCGTTCCGGCGGCCTCTATCACAGCATGTGGGTCGAGCAAGCGTCACACATGGAATTTGACGTCCCGGCTGAGAGTAAACCTGAGTAACAGTAATTTATTTTATATGACCTTCGCTATACCTCCAGCTCATAATAAGTAATTCTGAAGAGACTCTGGATGGTCCCAGCGTTCGATTATATAAATGCATGGGGCTTACGTAAGCATCCAAATGCGGCCGTCCTCCGAAGAGCCTGGCGCAACTCTGGTGCGCAGTCTCCCTAAGGCTGGGGCTAGTGACCAGAATGTACAATGCGCATTGGACTCCTTCGTAAGTGCATATTAACCACTGGTGTGTACGCTTCATTCTGCTCGTCTTTACTATTAGCCACTAGCGGGATATACAGTATTACGCTCGCTTCGTAGACTCCGAGTCGTTGGCTGACAGCTGACGCAGGTGTTTTTCTCTCGTTGCATTGTAACGCGTGGTCTTCATAAGATGGTCCAGAGCCGTTCGGTATGAAGATAGACGATTTGCAGTGCGGCTTCCGTGTATCTCGCGCTGAACGTCTGGCTTTACTCCATGCCGCTACCGTGACTATAAAAGAGCGTGCACAACTACGCACCATACACGCTACACTCAAAGGCAAAAACTTAGAACTTTTCAAAAACGAGGTCGCTAGCATGGAACAGACGAGCTCTCCCGCCCCCAGCTCCTATCTGGAGATTGGGTACCTGTCAGAGCCCGAGAGGCTATGGCTAGTGGAAGCATACCGCGAACACTTCAGCGAGGACCCTGCCGCACAGCGGAGTCTTGACACGTTACGTAATCTATACTCGAAGGCCAAGTTCGAGAGCATGAAGTTGGGAAAAGAGATATGCAGCCCCTCGGTGCGTAGTCTGCTCCTCCATAGTATAC